GGGACTCTACGGGACTCTACGGGACGAGTACGTGTGCCACCAACGGCGACTGGTAGATGGTACCGCCATCGCGAGTGCGCGAGCTCCTATCAGAAATTCGTTGCGCCGCCCTTGGGGACAAAGAACGGTGAAAGCTAACGTACGCAACCAGTGGGCAGCACACGATGCGATCGCGCGATCCTGCCCGTGAGCAAACTCCCAACTCATCTCTGCTCATCTCTGGTCACACTTTTGTTACTTGTTGCCACCGCTTATGTGAAAACGTGGTTCCCCATATAAATAAGCGAAAACATAACGTAATTACGTGTTAACAAGTTCCCGTAAACGTTTCTTTTTTTTCAGTGAGAATGTATATTTTAAAGTATTATGGCCAAATAGTTCGTATATTTTAATTTTTCGAAAAAAAATTTAAACTCAAATATTTAATATTGGTAATAAATATGAGGATATTTAACACACGTAAACGTAAAGATAGAGGTTAACCAAGAGGTCGCGTTGATGGTAATGGACACGTCATTGTTGGATTTACACTCAGATAATTGCATGGTACATACTACAAAAGTTCATAAAAATACAGGAATTCAATCAAGTTAGGGAACAATGGAGACGCTTTATCATCAAACGAATAAACTAGTTCAAGAAACTCAGCATCTGTTCTCGCAACTGGAAAGAAAACCACCTAACCTGGATTCAGTAGCCATAGAAAATGACATAGAATCAAAAATCAATAAAATCAACAGGTAAGCTTTGTTAGGACAACAGAAAATACTTAAATTTCCAATTTTTAGCAATGAGATTGCAACAATTTGCCATGATAATTTTTTATTTTTCAGTAATTGCGAGAAACTTGACATTCTTTGTCTGAAAGGTCCAGCATCGCAGAGGCAAAATGCTAAAATGCGAGTTGACCAACTTAAATACGATAGTCGTCATTTGAATGCTGCCTTGAATTCATGGAGACACCAGCAGATGAAAAAACAGAGAGAAGAGGCCGATAGAGAGGCACTTTTATCAAGGAAGTTTACTCCTAACGATCATGTAGACATTTTAATCGAACCTAACGCGCAATACAATGGTAGCTTGAACAATGCAGTTTATGGTGTAGACAATCTTATTCAACACGGGTCTAGCATTTTGGACAATCTGAGGTCACAACGAATGTCCTTGAAGGGGGCACATAAACGTCTAATAGATATCGGTAACACTTTAGGACTTTCAAATACAACGATGAGACTAATCGAAAAAAGAGCACGACAAGATGGTTTCATTCTAGTCGGTGGAATGCTTTTTACATGTTTCATAATAATCCTTGTCATAATTTATGTCGCGTGATCGTTCATTATGACGCTACGAAAACTGTACATATTGTTAAGTAAACATAAGAATTCAGAGGATGACCACGAACTTACGAAGTGATAATTAGAAACGGCTGGAATTGTACGTTATCGTATTAAAATTTCATAAACAAATCTGATAACAGGAGTATGTAAAAGTTAAAGTGGTATACTACATTGCAAATGAATATACATACATAAATTGTACTTTAGGTACAAGCGGATATCATTTAAATTCATTCTAAGCACGATTGCTTTTGGCAGAAGATTACATACTACTATAACGATATACAATATGCAATATGGTACGTACGACATATAATCTGGTACTGGACAGAATTAAAATTGTGCAATTCCTTTCCGCTCATATGTAAATAATATCATGGAAAGTAATCGTACCAATGCGTAACAAGTAATTTTTCCGTAAACCGATAAGATGTCGTAAATATGCCCTATAGGGAAGTCCGTAGCGTCCTTGAAACGACGCATGGTGTCCCGTGGTAAAGGAGCTTACGGTGTCCTAAAATTCATAGCTGTAAACTGTGGCCTTTGAGAAAAGATGGCTATACTCGTCTTCTCGATGGCTCGAGTAACCCAAAACCGGAGTGAAACCCAAGAGGATTCGTTTACGATCGGCCACGAGTCCCGAAGTCTGCGTCTGGACCTCCGAAAGGTCCCGCGACCTTTCCCGCGCGGTTCGCCCAAGTTCGTTAACGCATTTCCTCGGCATGCGGAGTCATCGTTTTTCGGTGGGAACTTGCTTTGTCGCGATTCCGCCGGGCATCGATGTCCCTGGAACTTTCTTTTCCGCATCCTTCCCCTCCACAGATCGAGAGGAAAAAGGCGAGGGCGTCCGGACGCTGCCGAGCGCCCTGGATAGGCCGCGCATCGGTCGTCTCTCGTCGAGCCGAGAAGTGAAAATTTTAGAGAGAGGACCGGCTCGGAACATCCCGATCAAACTCGAACGGTGGAGCGGGCTCGGTCGAAAAAGCGACCGACCTAGGAAGCTCTAGAGGAGGATCGCTGGCGTCCTTTCCAAGAGCCCCTCCAACGGTCCAAGGGACCCAAGTGGAGGGAGGAAGGCCCAGGGCCCCTTCCACCTCGGGAAGGCCCCCTTCTACCTACTCTGGGACTGGAGGCGATTTTTTGAGAAACATCACTTCGCCGACTACCTCCGTCGCCGTGCACGGCGTTTCGCCTGTGCTTTGGTTCATCTCGCGTGGAAGCGTCTCCGCGCCATAAGGTGACATTCGTCGAAGACCCGATCCGTTTCCGTCCGGTGGCCCTGGATGGGTTTGAATTCAGTCCACGTTTTTGATATCCTATTCGTGACTAGATCCACACTCATCCAAGGATACCAGATTTTGAACGTAGGGACGCACGGACGCGCACCCGAAGACACCTGGACTACGCCAGCGTCGGTACCTTCGCTCCTTCGAGGGGGCACTCGCGACGTGTTCATTGCTTATCGAGAAGATTATGTAAATATATGCGTTTATAGTTAGATGTACAATATTTTAATGCGTTCGGTTATAATCCGTGTAACGTGTTCACTGCCCGAAGAGTGCACGGGAGAGCACATGAGCTTAAGGTACTTTTCATCGGAGCTATTCCGGAACGGATATTTCCTAACGACGCCGTTTCCCCGAAAACTACATTTATGATTTAAGAAATGGTGAAATTATATTTAGAAATATTTCGATGTATGTACGCGTTCGAGATGTATCGATTAGAACATAAAGAGAGGCTTCCTGTCCGAACAACTGTATTGTGCTCACCAGGTACCTACGCTTCGTCAAAGAGACCACGTTCACCACGTTTGCCTACACATTTTAAAGGTAACTACTGACAATGGGGGGTTCTATGCTAACGCATTACGGATAATAATGTACGAATTATCGTATATTCTCATTATAAACAAACCAAACACAACGAGAGCCAACTTTTAGAGGTCGTGCAAACGACCTCTAAGTGCGTTATCCGAGGCGTCGTTGGCGTTGGAACGACGCGATCGCAGAATACCGATTTCGCGAGGCTTTAATCTACTTCCGTGAGTTTAATGAAACGCCATTGGCGTGCCGGAATACCCGAACAAGAGAAAGTGGAGTACAGAGAAGGAAAAGGCTCGTATTCCCGAGCTCAAATCGGGAAGGATCCTGCCGATCCCAAGCCAGTGGCTTCGGGATTCCTTTGAGTCTCTTTGTGCGTGAACACCTGCCGTCCTCGCCCCTCCGTGCGTCCCTCGGGGATGCGCGCGATTCCGGCCGGTCTCATACCTCCCCTCCTGCAACTGCTCCTGCCGGCTCCCATCCTCCTACTGGCCTTCCTGGATAACTGTAAAAATCCCCCTCCAGTTCCGACGACCTTCTCGGACCCTGCTCCGAGCGCCTTCGGGTGCCTTCGAGTATCCTCGGCTCTGTTCGACTCCCTCTCGACCACTCTCGACCGCGCGGCATTTCACGGGTCGCATGCCCGAACCCAAGAAAACCCGCCCTTCTGCCCCGGCGGCCATTATTATCCAACCCCGCTGGAAGTCGTTACATCTTTTTACAGGAAATTCCTGCCAGCCACGGAACCGTACCGGCCGGGTAGAGCAAGCAGAAATGCTTTTGAAGAAATTATATTTTTCTCCAATTGTAAACGATCGGTTAAGCAAAATAATACAGTGGCTCGATGCATGTTTGACTCTTTTTAACCCTCGCGTGATCGCAAACGACGCATCTACCCACCTATATACATAAGGTCATCGTCGCAACGCCATCGACGTTTATTAAAAACATATATACGTTCATGTTTTAATTTCATGTATTAATTTATCATATGTGTGTGTATATATATTCAGATCTAAGTACCTGTTTCAATACTTTTATGCAAAATTTGCGAAAAAAAAATGTTTATCACCGCTCTTCGATGAATGATTAGCACATGTGGACTATTGCACGATATTGCTAGTTTATAATCATTAAATTATTTCGCCCCCTTAAAAAAAGAAACATCTTATAGTTCTTGAAGGGCGTATAACTCCTTGAATGCTAAAAAGTTGTCATTGCACCGACGGATGATGATCGACGGATGTGTACATGGTTAAAATTTGTAATACTTTATAAACGAGTTTCTTCGAGTTTAAGTTCTCTTTTACACATTTGAAGACGAAACAACTTTTATAGAACATTTACAATATTTCTCCTACATATTAATTATAACACAAAACTTAATAAATATTTGTCCTGCAAAAATAAGTACTGTCGGTCAGCCGCAAATTTTATCAAATAGTTATATGAAATACTTGCAAAGGGATGGGATTTGATTATATATATGTATATGTTTTATATGGAATGAAAAATAGTTAATAAATACTGAAATACTTAAACGAATTTGCATACCTCGCTAAGATCATTTTTGTTGAGATTGTTTAATTTTAAAGCAGCAAAAATTATGCTAAATATAGTTATTTCGTAACGGTATTTTTACTAGAATATATATTTCTTTAATAGTAATGAATAGTATTGAATTCTTTTTCAAAAAGTGCACTGTTACGTTTATTCACGATATTTGTTCATCATCACAGAATCATGTGCCCTCTTTGTTGCTACCCTTCACTTACGTGATTTATTGGCTTACTAACCGAATAATGAAATACTCTCATTTTACTAGCAAATGATTTTCAAATCAAAGTAAAACTAGACACGACTAAAGAAAACCGCCCAAAACGTGAAAATCTAAGACTTTGAAATTACAGTTCAAAGGAGTTCCACATTTCATTACCATTGATCCTACGAATGAATGTAAAACATTGTCCTATAACGTTAAATAAAATGCATGCCTCGTAGTTTGTAAAACAGTTTCCTAACATAGTACTTTCACATCACCTCCTCAAATTTACCCGAGCTATCTATCATCGAGTAAAAAAAAAAATGGCCGTGAAGAGTACCTGGAGTAATCCTTAGATCCCTCTCCCTCTCTCCTCAAGGCACAAATCACGTGCCTGAAGCTTCCAAATTTAACTTTGCTAATCTCTCAGATTCATCCTGACACGTGGCTTCGGATGATGAGTCCGGACTCATTTGGATTCGGTCTATTACTTGCCTGATCTGAACTCGAAGCTCCATTGCTAGCTTCTTAACGGCGGCGTGGTTGTTTTTAAGTTCTTTGGTACACTCCAACATTTCGGCCCATGGCGCTGCGACCGTGTGGCCAAAATAAAGCTCTCTCCATAATTCGATACTAACCGGAGCTACACTTGGCCAAATGATCCCAGGGTTGGGATCGTACAGAGGATTTAGCCACGTCTCCAAGACCTGGGGTCGATTTATATACGACCAAAGGCTACAAGTGCGTTCCGACAAACTCATCTGGATTCTTTCAGCTTCGGTGTCGCCTAAAACGAACAATTCCCATGAAACGATCTGACTTGGACTGGAAAAGCAAATTAGATTTCCTAATGAATTTTGGCTATTTTATACGTACCGAGGAAAGTCCCATAGTTCGAAGAGTAGGCATGCTTGAAAAGTTCGGCAAGTAAATCTGTAGTATATTCAAAGCTATATTGAAACTGAAAATGTAGTTGATGAAGACAATCCAGTAAGAGTAGGAAAGTCGGTGCATGCAGTGGATTTTGTGACGACGAATGGTAAGCTCCATATTTCGTTCGTGTGAAAAAGGGATGACCAGCCTGTAACCATTCTCGCTCAATCAGAGCCTGCAACCCTCTGACTGTTCGACAATCGGGATTGAGAATTGTTTGTGTTAAGCTTGTGACGACTAAAGTTGAATCTCGACCGGCACCACCTAAAATAACATTCTGATATGATTCTACAATTAATCCTGAAATAAAATGAATGGTTTTTACATACCATGAACTAATACTGCGGCTACTTCTTGATGAAGACACTGAGCAGCTACGCAGGATGCATTTAATGCCCCTTGTACAGCTGACAGCCAGCCACTGTTATCGAGCCTTGACAGCCATTGGGAAGTTGAGCAGTTGGCATCATTGCATGCTTCGATTAACTTGAACAAGGCATCGGTCAGATTCGATGGCCTAGGAACAGGCTTGTGCAATTTTCTCCACTGAGGATACGCCGCATCCATTTCGGTGCCACCACCTCTTGCTCGGGCACTTTGGGCTTGATTGGAGGATCTCATATCAACGATGTACCTATGGGAAAATATCTGCATGTAGTAAAATTGAGTTCATCCAAGTTTTCCAAGACAGTTATTTGATTAATTCTACCCTCTTCGTCCAGGTCCTAAGACCGCGTTGAGCAGTCTTTCATCTTCCTTACACCTTCTGCCAGTAGCTCCACAGTTTGGTTGACTGCTTCTGAGCAGAATACTCTAAAGAAAAGAACAACAATGCTTGCAATAGCATTTAGTGGCAGAATAAATCTTAATTTTACATTTATTCTAAATATTTTGACAAATTTGCGTTAAAAAATTTAAAATGATTTATAAATCAATAATTAACATGTTTTCAATATTTCAAGTTAATAAAAACTGGACTCCTGAATTTATTCCATCTTAACATAGCATACCCCTCCTTCATGTCTGTAGCACAGTACGGGAAATCTCCCGCCATCTCTGAAACTAGCAGAGGACATAATGACTTTATCTTCGACATGACGGGGTACTATTACAGCCGATGGATAAGAATTACAGACTTTGTAGTCTCTATTCAGATAACTTATACGCCACTCGTCCGCGTGTGCCGCCAGAAGCCTGGACCATTCCGAGACAGGGGCATATGCACTCCAACCATCTTCTACTTGTTCTTTAGAGTTATTTACTAATTGAGGTCTATGGAAAAAGGGATACTGCATAGTTTGGCCTGCAAAGATAATAATACAAAAATGAATGCATTTAATTAAATATTCTTACGTCAAATTTGATAACAAACATTTTGTTCTCGGCATGCAATGATAAATTATAATTATGTGATAATAAAAAATCCTTGTCTTACCGCTTTACATTTTTTATTCTTCATCTTATTAAATTATTCTGAAGTGAATGGAATTGAAAATTACCTAGAGACATGAGATTTTCTATGGATAATGCAACATTTGTTAAATCATCCGTTGATCCGATGTCCAGCTGCAGAATACGAAAGTCTTTACATTTGAATATAATGCTACCTCCAGGGCTCTGACTGTTACATTTTTTTTCTATGACATCTATGTTCCTGTATAATAGCTGAAATACAAACGACCATGTCTATGTTTTTATAGGACACAAGCGGGAACCTGTACAACTTTTAATCGTAGTACAAAGTAATATATAAAATTATACCCAAATCTCTTTAGGAGATTCTTGTCTTGACGATAAGATCAAATGGTGCCCACTGATACACAGAGTCCCTTCTAATCTAGAATTCTTATTATTCTCGTCAGTCTTGTCGGTCAACACAACATTAACGACTTGTGGAATTAAGATTAGATCAGCGAATTCCATAACCAACGGTTTATGGACCCTGAAATGTGTTTAAATTATAGTCACTCCGTTAGAGACCTAGTTTTATTGGCAGATAGACATAACCCTTTCTTGACAATACCTGCAGTCCTTACAAAAGTTATTCTCTCGAACAGCGATCGATCAATTAATATAATTTTTACTTGTTTGATTGTAAAGATCCAATTTGATTGTACAACTCCATTTTCTGACCTTACTTGCTACGATTCCAAAGATTCTAAATACTGGATGACAGCTGACTGAAAGCAAGTGTTAGTTTTTTTAATACGTTTCGTAGACCGGACGGCTCGGATGACTCGGTCGATAAGATTGACGGATTTCAGTATACCACGTGATCCAGATATTTTATAGACTCGCTACTTAAAATCTGCGTGAAGGATTTATTTTGGTATTTTAACAGGTTTGTAGCCTGTCGAATGACGACCGGAAAATATGAATAGCAAAATCGAGAGCAAGAAGAATAAATTGGAGATGGCCACCAACCTCTCTCCGCAAATTTACCTTCTCTTTCTTGGATCATCTTCCTTCTCTTATTTTACGCCATTTTCTTTATTTTCTATGTTCAATCTAACCTCAATTTTCCTATTGAAGTAAACTGCTGTTGTAGTCATTTTTGTTCGTCGATCGACAGCATTTTTGTTTCTTGACCGATATGTCGTTGGCGGACGAATTACTCGCGGATCTTGAAGAAAACGATGATGAGGAAAAGTTTCTGGAAGAACCTGAACCCGACTTTATTTCTCCCGTTTCAAAACCCATAGAGGAAGGTTAGTGTAATTGTCATTGACCTTACACTGCAGTGAAACTAAATTTTATTTGTATACCTGACGTGTTCGTACTCGTGTATATATAATGCTAAATGTTTTATTTAACATGTATCGTATCATGCATTTCATATAGCAGAAATAAAAGTCACTTCGGTGCGAGAATTAGCAAAACTTCGCGATTCTTCACAACTACGAAGGATTATGGGTGAGATTGAAAAATACAGTAAAGTTCCTCGGAGATCGACAGACATCGTTGGACCAGTGGAATCGGATCCTGAATATCAACTTATTGTAGAAGCTAACAACATGGCTGTAGACATTGACGATGAAATAGGTAAATGTAAGATCATTCAACCGATCCGAGTATTAATACACTGTTTTACATTTATACCACTTTGTTTTAGCAACTATTCATCGATTTGCAAGGGACAAATACTCAAAAAGATTTCCTGAATTAGAGTCATTGGTTGTTGGACCCTTAGAATATGTAATGACTGTTCGAGAATTAGGAAATGATTTAGACAGAGCAAAAAATAATGAGACTTTGCAGCAATTTCTTACACAAGCAACCATTATGGTTGTATCTGTAACTGCTTCTACTACTCAAGGGTAAATACACACTTTCCTATTTGCAAAAATATCCAAAATGGTAAAATAACGATGTAATTATTGTCAGTCGTCATTTCATTTTGATCTTGAATTTAATATCAATGATTTTAATTATAGTCAGTTGCTGACAGAGGAAGAAAAGGAAGCAATTTGCGAAGCATGCGACATGGCAGTAGAACTGAATAATTGCAAGCTTAAGATATTTGAATATGTTGAGAGTAGGATGGCATTCATTGCACCAAATTTATCCATAATAGTTGGAGCATCAACAGCTGCTAAAATCATGGGTATGATTTTGTAACCGGTCATGTTACATTAATCGTACTATTAAAGATTTTATTTAAATAATTATCTTAGATTTCATAAAGTTTATAATGAAACGATGACACGTGAAAAGTCTATATTAACTGTTATTGCAGGTGTTGCTGGAGGCCTGACAAAATTATCTAAGATGCCATCATGTAATGTACTAGTTTTGGGGTCAAAGAAAACTACCCTATCTGGTTTTTCACAAGTGGCGACATTACCTCACACAGGTTTTATATACTATTCGGATATTGTACAAGATACTCCACCAGTGAGTAATTAAAAACAATGTTCTAAACCAAGTGAGATGCTCTATTTAATTAAATTATTTCTTAATGGCAGGATTTAAGGAGAAAAGCAGCTAGGTTGGTAGCGGCTAAGAGTGTTCTTGCTGCTAGAGTTGACGCCTGTCATGAAAGTACGGATGGACACATTGGTCAAATGTTTAGAGAGGAAATTGAAAAGAAGCTGGATAAACTACAAGAACCTCCTCCTGTAAAATTTGTCAAACCCTTACCCAAGCCGATCGATCCTGGTCGAAAGAAGCGTGGTGGTAAACGTATTCGAAAAATGAAAGAACGCTATGCTATTACAGAATTTCGAAAACACGCAAATCGCATGAATTTTGCAGATGTAAGCACATCCTTCATAATTACTTTATCATAATTTGAAAAAATTTATTTCGTTTGTAAATATTTTTGACACGCAGTCTAAAAATTAGTGATCAGAAGCAATAGTTTAAATACTTATTAATACGAATTATTTCAGATTGAGAACGATGCTTATCAAGAAGATCTTGGATATTCTCGAGGTACAATTGGCAAAGCAGGAACAGGTAGAATTCGATTGCCACAAATTGACGAGAAAACAAAAGTTCGGATATCAAAGGCATTGCAAAAGAATTTACAGAAGCAACAACAATGGGGAGGCAGTACAACGGTAAAGAAACAGGTCTCCGGTACTGCTTCCAGTGTAGCATTCACTCCTTTGCAGGTAACAACGATCGTTACTTATAACAATGATTTTAAAAAACATAAATACACATATAATATTGTAGTTCGTATTATGGCATTTAAACCAATATGCTAATATTAATTCACATTTAATCTGTATAGGGGTTGGAAATAGTAAATCCACAAGCAGCCGAGAAAAAAGTGAATGAAGCAAATGCAAAATATTTTTCAAATACTGCTGGCTTCTTGCAAGTGAAAAAAGTGTAAAACATTTCCAATAAGAAGTCTGTAAGTATGTGCAAATATTACTCGTTAAATAATCGTAACATCTGTATTTATTCATATCGTAACATATTGTCAGCATATTTTTCAATTTATTTTAATTAATGTGTATTCATTTTGTTTGGTCGTGTTCCAATTAAGTCGAAGAAACGAGATGTATTCGTGTAATAAGCAATTAGATTTAATAGCAATAAAATGACCGTAACAAAAAAGAAACGGATTAAAGTTGCGCATAAATTAAAATAAAAAATTAATAATTCAAACCTAACTTGTAATGGTTGCTTCCGTTGTTTTCATTGCCATTCTTTACCAAAGAAACGCGACCATTTATCCTGATTTATCCTGATTTATGCCAGATATAAGTAACGAATACCGAAGGGTCGATTCTGCAATTCGTCTAGTGAAATTACTAAAAATGAGCACCTCCCGTGATTCTATAGCTTTCGTCATGGTAAATATGTGAGATATTTCACATGAGACTATTCGACGCTTCTATGGAGTCTTCCGAATCGTTCGTCATCGACCAATCACACGTAGGAAGCTCTTCCGCTCGTTTCCATTGGGTCGCGTTCTCTCCGGGTTCCCGAGAGCGCGTTGCGGAACGCACTACCGGGACCCAAGATGGAGTCGAGCGAGCCCACAGCGGCCAGTCGGTCTGTTGGCTTGCGGCGTGCCGAGGGCTGCGGAGGACGGCAGAGGACGGCCATATTGTTTTAGCGGAGTGTTTGTTTTGGTGCAGCCTAAACTCTTGCCCGACGACTCGTAGAAATCCAGCCCCGTTTCAAAACTTGTGGAATCGTGCTCGTCGGCCGTTCGACATCGTCTCGGCGCTCGACCAGACCCAGAGGCCGGCAATCCCCGCGAGAGGAGCTCGAGCGCTCTCTCCCTCTTCGTCTCTCTCTCCGTCTCTCCCGGGGCTCGTTTCGTGAACGGTGAACGGCCCGAAATATGGCTTGCGCCACCCTAAAGAGGTCCCTCGAATTTGATCCGGTCCACAGCCACGGGCGGCCCAGCAAGCGACGAAGATGCGTCCCCATGTGCGCCTCACCCGGAGCCTCGCCCTCGCAGTCCGCGGCGAGGCCGCAGAACCCCTCGCCCTTTGGCGAGGTCGCCCACAAATTGACGCCTGGTAATTATCGCCCTAGGGACACGGCCATTTTTTCGAGCGATTCGGGGCACGCGGCAGGGAACTGCCGCCCCTTCCCCGGCCGCTGCTTCGCGATTTAAAACCCGTCCGGATGGACGGGGAGGGGAGGGCGCGTAAATCATATGGTAATGTCCCAACGGACGTGAGATACCAGTGAGATACGCTTTCGCTGGGGCCCCGCTAAGATTGATCGCCCTTTTTTTCTTTCATTTCGTTAAGTGCGATTCTTTGCGCTTACGTTAATTACTTAAGTTTTAATAGAGCTCCACTTAAAAAATTTTAATTCTAGACGCGACTTGGGACAGAAAGTTCAGGGGGCTGTTAGAATTTCAATATGCTTGGACCTTGGGAGAATTAAGAATGCATTATTAACTCCAGACGTTTCATGGATTGTATGCGCTTTATGGATAAGATTGAAGTTAGCAAGATTCCTATTTTGAGTTAGAACGATGGTGGCCATGTTGTTGTTATTAGATCGTGTGCAAGGTCTCGATGGCCTTTGCATGTTTCATCGAAATGCCTTGTGACTCATTAGATGTGTCTTTCGTGTTAAATCTGCTTGTTTTTCTGATTAGGTCAATGATTTCCTACCTGGCAAAAACTTACAATGTAAAGGAGATTGAAATTGCATGCGATCGATTCTTTAATTGAAAACCGACGTACGACTTACCATTTGGCATAATATTTTTTTATTATTATATTAACTCTAAACCTTTTATCTCTATAGCTGTCTGTCACAAAACGATTTAGAGGAAACAAAAGTGACTCGAATTACCGGACCGAAACAAATATTTGATTCTAAAAATACTTTTAATGGATCGATACTTTTCGTCGAGTCTCTTTGCATTAAAATAATTGATCCTTAGGGATCGATAAGAAGGGGTACCAATTGAAGATTTTGATCAATTAACCTTACTTGGTACAGAGAAAATGGCAGCTAACATCAGAGAGGAGATTCGCAGACTGCACCGACGCAAGCAGTTGCACTTTAATCCCCAGAGCAATGGTGGAGATTCATCGGATATGGAGGGCCCGGTCAGTCCTTCGAGTCCGTCAACCTCTGGCTCGCAGGTTCAACAATACAGTCCCAGTGGCAAAGAGAAACCACTATTTACATTCAGACAGGTAATAACCGTTTAGAATTTTATCTGCACATGATAAAACAGAGAGAAAGAAAATAACAATTGTAATGCTTTACAGGTTGGTTTGATCTGTGAACGAATGCTAAAGGAACAAGAGACTCAAATACGGGAGGAGTATGACCAAATCTTGAACATGAAGCTCTCCGAGCAGTACGATGCTTTTGTCAAATTTACCTACGATCAGATTCAAAAGAGATTCGAGTCTGGTACTGTACCGAGTTGTAAGTACTCGATTAATCAAATGCAGTGGTGAATATAATTTCAGAATTTCGGCTATAATTTCATATTCTTTCAGATTTATCCTAAAGATGGTTTCATACCTTTAAGAACACGTTTCTCCGAAGATTATTAGGTGAGCGTAGTGATAAAATTTATAAATTAACCATATTTTCTATGTACTAAGTACTACAACTCCTAGTTCTGCCTTAGTATTTACATAAAACACAGTAGCCATTGTTTTATAATAAAATATTTTTGCGTTTAAAAGTTCATATTAAACTGTTGTTAAATTCTTTCGTATGTTCAAAATTAGTCGACTTACTCATTAAGCACTTTAGATTTTTTTGAATGTAAAGGTATAAATTTATTCAATGAAGTATTAAAAAGGTATTACAACTTACAAATCAAGAGACTATAAAACTGCAATAGAAACTACGAAGAATCAAAAGGATGTAACCGAGGAAGGATAAATTGCCAGGTCAAATTTACATTGTATAATTTCTCTATGGCTATTGAATAATTTCCTTGCTGTTGCAGATTTCTACGATGTAAGTGAGAGAAATTTTGCTTGAAAACTGAAATATATCCAAGGCAAGCAGCGCCGCCTTGGGCTTGACAGGTCGACGTTGAGTAAATTGGAGGAGCTTCGACACACCTTGGCAGGGAGGGACGTCCCTGCTCTCGAGAGTGTAGTAGCAGTGTAAGTTAAGTAGGTTTCGCATACGAGGACGTAATCGTACCAGGAAAATCTACAACGTATACTATTATAAAACGAAACGAAGCAAAAAAGATGTCGCAAATGACAGTTTGTACTAGAGTTGGTTTGAAGGAGAAAGTGCGCTGGTATCAGGGAACTATGTAGAGTATTTGAGTGTGTCCGTAGAAAAAGCAACGTTATAGCGTCTCTTGGCTTTTTGCATCGACCGATGTCTACGAAGCCCTTCGGGAGGGTCGCCAATTCCTAAGGCGAGACATGCTCATTTAAGCACAAAACAACATAGAAGCATTTATCGACGAACTGAATTTAATGCGAGAATTTTGTACAGACGTTTGCTTCAGGTTTTCCACCCTATGATGTAGAAATTATGGCTCCAGGGTTAATGAAAGATATCCAACGATGCAGACTTTCTTTGTCAGCTTGTGGTCTACATAAATTCATAAGCTATGAATAACTTTGCGAACATCGCATATGGTGCAGGGTTGGAAGAATTCAAATTGAAAGAATGACTTAAAAATGTATAGAGTATTTTTTTAATAATTCTAATGCATCATCAAAGTTTTCCTTGACATTCAATTTGCGTGAACTTCAATTTTTTCTGTAAATTTTCTTCGCTGATGAAACATTTAATCATTTCTTTGTGAACGTTTACGTAAATCTTTTTTTTCTTTTAACACAAAAAGGTACACTATGAAAAGCACGTCAAAAATGGAAAAATTCTAACACTGCCACTTGCCGTTAAAATTTAGGAATCAAATTTTAAGGTGAAGAAATCGAATTAACAAGAACACAACAAGTATTTGCTATTTACCACTAGTACTTTGTGTATTTAAGTAATTCTTCATCTTTATTTTTATCGTTATGATCATTGAATGCAACCATTTAAGGTTAAGACTTGAAAAATCCATCGTTGAGAAAACAAAGTCCAGATCATTTGCTGGGTAAAATGTGACCAACCCTGATAATGTATGTTGAGAAAATTACTTTCGAAATGAGAGATGACCAGTGCAACCCTAAGGAAATGGGGGGGGGGGGGGGAAGAGGCGTCCGTTGTACGACATTGCCGATAAAAACTGTCAGTAAATGACAGACTATGTTCTTTCGTTGAATTAGCCGACAGCAATAGGTCAATTTTCAACTTAATGACGATTCCTACCAAATTATTAAATCGTCTTTTTAGTGCAACACCTCATTTGCGTTGTTAAAGAATTATTCTTAATGAGTATCTTTAAGTCATCGTGGCCAATTTTGATACCACATACGTTCTTCCTATTAAAAATATGTTTGTTGTAAATATACATTATATCGGTTTGATACTCATTCGTATTTTGATATAGGGAAACGCGTACATTGAAACCATCGTGAATTTTCGGCAAATCTATAAAAAGAATAAGCACAAGTTCTCTGCATTACACGTAATTGCATTTCGTTCAATTGCATATAACAAGAATCTCTGCCACTGTTCAACGCTGAAATTGATTAATATACTTAAGGAGTTAAAAATGGCATTAAAATGACGATTTAATCTTTAAGTGAGAATCGCGATAAATGGTAATTTGGTCGATTTCTGGAGTGTTGCGACGATTCGTAGATAAAGTGGGATCGAATGTAAACGTCTGAAGCAATTCGCACATTCGATCGGGAAACGGCACTACAAGGGAAGTCCATGGAGTTACCGTTGATAGTTTATTTTCGTACGAATCGTTCGCGAATCCTGCCCTCTCGCTCACGTCGTCTCGTTCCAAAATGCAAAGAGAGTTCGTTTCGGAGATCAGGTGTGTGCTCGTCTTACCCGCGATTCCGACTTATTTTTCTAAATGCGGTCGTTAACTCCCATCGCGAAAGTAAGACGGCCCACGTTAACGGGGTTTCAAATTGACCTGTAAACCGTAGCATTGTACGAAGCGCATTGTGTATAATAAACATTTGAAATAAAAGTTTAATACGATTTTGCGTAAACTTTCGTTCCCTGGTAGCAAGCGACTCTCGAGCAGTAAGGCGACGACTCGACGAGACTTACAGCGGCGACGTCTTAATGTCTGTGAGAAAAACTAGAAGCCGAACGATCCGTTGACGGATATAGATTAGGTGTCGGTATGTAATCTCTGAAAGCATTTGCCCGTAAATTTCAATTATCTCCGAAGGCTTGGTCTAATTTCGGTTTTTCATTTTTTTTTTCCACTTGCCTCCGCGTGTGCCATTTTTTAGCCACCGAATGAATTCGGCTAAATCGAGGTTCGTTTTGTCTTCTCTCGAGGGGTACTTAATTAAAACTATTTACGCGTATACATAAATATATGCGGTAACTAACGAAAGCGAAGGAAGGAACGTTGCACGATCGAGGATTGGGAGTCGTTCGGCATATATAAGTTTCTCGCTGCAATCTCAAACCATGGAGGGAATTTTTTTTTTCTGCGGAACGCGACTCCCGTAATGGATTCAAAGTTATAAGAGAGCTTTACGGGAAGAAAATTGAATCAAAGGAAGGTGAAACTAAACGTGCAATCTTAGGGTTTACAAACGGACATCTTATCGGTTTCTACCTCTAGATAAGTTTTGATCGATGCCAGTCACGGAAACCCGGACAAAACGAGGCTATCTAGAAATTCAGAGAGACATTAAGGCGTGTCTCTTGTCAGTTATATTAATAACTATACCCGATGCATTAATCGTGCCTATCATTAGAAGTTATTTATCTTGCGACTCTTCTCGGTACAGGCGCAACTATAACTTACCGCTGACGACCGTGGACAGTCTATTAGTTCTTAATGCAGATCTTAAATGCGACGCGTTTAAGTTCTGATTTTCCGATTGGACACATTAGAGGGGGGGGGGGGGGGGGGGGGGGGGAGAGAGAGAGGTGAAATTAATACATGTAACAATTTCGAGGTAGACGAAAGTATCGGTGCAGTCGTATTTTGTTTTTCTACGAGTTTCAAAGTCCAAGTATCGATGAAAGAAATGGAAAGAAAGGAGCCGAAGCACGTTAGAGAGTACTTTTGCTCAACGGAGATCCCTCCAAAGTGTCCATGGAGTTCTCGTCGAGCCACCGACGGGCAGACCTTAGTTTAATTATTAACCGAACCCTTTAACCCACGACATATATTTCAAGTAGTTTAGATATCCGGCTCTATATCCTGCCAATAAGCGTCGAGGAGGTAGTTAATTTTTCCTTCTAATTAAGTTTTCAACTTGTTGCGATTTAGTTGTTGACTAATGAAATCGATAGTCGTAAGGGATGCACAGTTGTCGATGACGTACCGTTAAGAGTTAAACGGTACCGAGGCTGCACTCGTAATCGCGATGCATCGCCAATGTCGACGATCGTTGACATTGAGATAACCCTCTGGAGAGAGGGGCGCTCTTACGTGATTTAATGCGAACGATGACCGAACCGAAGTGTTGAGTGTTTTTATTAAATAATTAGTTTAATTTCGCTCGTCACAGGTCGAGGTCGACGGAGTAACTCGATGCTTTCATCGATGCTTGGGGAGTTACTTTGCATCGAGGTGAATTTACACCTCTCGGTTACCGGCGCGCTCGAGTGCGATAACTTTTCTTACTTGCCTCTCGGGCAACGCGAGGGCATATCTTTGGAGGCGTTTTTTGTATTTTTTTCTTTTTCTAAGGAATGCCGATACCGATCGATGCTTCCGCTTTTCGTTTCAACGTGGAGAGACTCGTCCTCGCGTTTTACCGGTCTAGATAACGGCATTCCTGTCGAAGCTCGGGATTCCCCTATTTCCGTTCCTTGCTATAAATTGGAAAATCAATCGATATCCGTATTTCTCCGCTCCAAAGAATGTACAGCGACAGTTATTCCGTTCAGAAATTCATAGTGTTAATTTAGCTGCATTAGGTTATTCTTAACGCTTAGGAAAAAAAACACACACAGGCGAAGGGATCTAACGCGATCGCCCGAGAATTGCTCCGTGCGCGTCCTAAGGAAAGGTTAAATTAAATTAGTAAGTTTAAGCGACCGTTTTCGCCAAATCGATCGTTGGATCGTCAGACTAGGAGGCAGTCTTGAATTAAGGATTTAGGGCGATCTCCCTCGAAGAGTCGATGCGATGGGACTATTTCGAAAAATAAAATACCTCCGCATTATGTAAACACTTATTAATGAAATAAATATAAACCTTAAGACTGAACTAAAAGCCTCCTCCTTTCTTGCGAATGTACGGATCTGAAACACATAAATATCGCGTTAAGTAAACTTAAAGAATTAAGTAGCTTCGCTACTCGATAATAGCAACGTAATCGTATGACTCTTGTAAATTTGCAAACCGAGGCTGTAAGCTTATCGATATATCGTTTTCCACTCGATGCGATAAAGCGACTGAACTCCGAAAGGTCTTGACTCTTTTCGAGTTGATTCGATCGCACGTTTAATTTATTACGTAGGAATATTTTCTATTTAAAAATCCAAATATCTGTTAGCAATGCGATCGATTGATATCTTATCGAAAAGAACTAAGGTCTAAGAACTAATCCTGGGACTTGTCGTTACGGTAACGCGTAATCGCAGGGTGACGAGGACAACCCACCGAGAGATCCGTTCCGAAGTTAAGAAACGTTAGGATGGCTGTGCACCGCGAGGGCCGAGAGATAACTGAATCAGCCCGGTGGTGGGTGTAAGCGTTCGCTGCGAAAAGGTGCACTTTCATCTCATTAAAGAACTTATGTAAGGGGTAATGCCATTATTGGTATGGCTTCGAGCGCAAAGAGGAAGCCCTTCGCGGACTATATCAAGTTCGACGCCGTGCCGGACAACCTGTCACTTCTGGGCGGGAAAGAATCTTCCGCTTGCCGTTTCCTCTTACTCGATCATAGAGAAAACTCGAGCCAAATGTTTCCGCTCCTGTTTCTGGCCTACGTGGTGGCCATCAAGGTTTTCAAGAAGACCACCCCCAATGGTAAGTCAAATTGCCCTCGGGAGCGAAAGGCCAATCGAACCCATAAATGAAAAATGAAAGTCGGTGAAACGCTCTACCAGTTGGGGGCAGGGCTTCCGTTCCGTCCAGTTCCATGTATTTACCCTTTGATCGTTATCGCTTTATATAAGAAATTGATCGAATCCAATGTTCCTCTTTAGGCAAGGTCACGGTGTACCTTGGCAAGAGAGACTTCATCGACCATCTAGACAGCGTCGACCCCATCGACGGCATCGTCGTCGTGGAAAATGAATACCTCCAAGGGAGAAAGGTCTTCGGTCAGGTTCGTCGCTCCTATTCGGAACTATCGAGGAATTATGACCGGACGCGTAAACCGGGCTTGGGCGATTTTACCCCTTCGATGTCTTCCTTCAGGTGACGACTACCTACCGATATGGACGAGAAGAGGACGAGGTAATGGGAGTGAAATTTAGCAAAGAAATGATCATCTGCCGAGACCAAATCTTCCCGTGCAAGAAGGAGAAACAGGAGACCACTCCGATCCAAGATCGCCTCCTAAAGAGGCTCGGGCCGAATGCTTACCCGTTCCTCTTCCAGTTTCCCCAAAACTCCCCCAGCTCGGTGACGTTGCAACCCGGAGACGACGACCAGGGTAAGCCCCTCGGCGTCGAATATACCGTCAGGATCTACGTCGGCGAGAACGAGGAAGACAAGGTAATTCGAGAATCCGGAACGTCCACCTCGATGGGGGAAATTCGAGCCCGAACGTGACGATCGGTCGTTCCACAGGGCCACAAAAGATCGTCCGTAGCTTTGGCCATCAAGAAACTACAGTACGCTCCTCCGGTGCGAGGCCGGAGGCTGCCCAGCTCGCTGGTGTCGAAGGGATTCACCTTCTCTCAGGGCAAACTCAACCTGGAAGTCACTCTCGACCGGGAAATCTACTACCACGGCGAGAAGGTCTCCGCCAACGTCATCGTTACCAACAACTCTCGCAAAGCGGTCAAGAATATCAAGGTATGAAGAATTCAACGAGAGAGGTTACGCGCTCTTCCTTCGTTTCACGGATCCGGTTTCTATTTACAGCTCTTTGTCGTTCAACACTGCGAAGTGACGATGGTGAACTCTCAGTTCTCACGACACGTCGCTAGCTTGGAAACGAGGGAAGGCTGTCCGATCACGCCTGGAACTTCCTTTACGAAGCAATTCTACCTTGTGCCGTTGGCCAGCAGCAATAAGGACCGCAGGGGAATCGCCTTGGATGGTCACCTGAAGGTACCCTTCTCGCGCGCTCCATCGCGCTCCATCGTATCCTTCGAACTCTGTTTCTTTTCCATAGGACGACGATGTCAATTTGGCCTCTTCCACCATGGTCGCCGAGGGCAAGTGCCCAGCCGAAGCCATGGGCATTGTCATTTCGTACTCTGTTCGTGTCAAGCTTAACTGCGGCACTCTGGGAGGAGAACTGATAACGGACGTTCCGTTCAAACTGATGCATCCCACTCCCGGTAAGTGATTTATTATTTAATCACTTTTCGATCGAACCTAACAGAAATCGCGTCACTACCCGAAGGAAATAACTATCCGCGTAACTCTTGCAAGCACGAGAAAGACATTTATAAGGTTCCACGAAACCGCGCGAATTAGCCTTTTTGCCGTTAACTCTCGAATCGGAAATGTTCGCACGAAGTGAAATAACACGGTGAACGTTTCGTTATTTTTCTTACAGGAACCGTTGAAAAGGAAAAGTCTGCCATGAAGAAGAGTAAGAGCATCGACAGGGCCAGATATGAAAATTCTTGCTACGCTAATGACGACGACGATAACATCGTCTTCGAAGACTTTGCTCGTCTTCGTTTGAACGAGCCAGAATAAGCATTTCTTGTAAATTCCTGCCCCTTCCGATAGGACCTTTCGATATCAACATTTCTGAAAAATCTAGGAGGAAAGTTATACATTGTTCCGTTGAATCAAAATACAATTGCGAATCGTTGCAAAGTGTTTATTATCGAGCGTTCGGAGATCTCTGTGTAGGACGAACACGAGACGACGAAAGGACCTATTTTGAAGGTGCAAGTAACGACATGGATGCGCAGGAAATCGAAGCATAAGGCATTGCTAAAGAAATATACGTGCTAAATTCGATCACCTCAAGTTAAAATCATCTCTGAACCGTGGCACGGGTTTCTTACGAAACCCCAATAAAAGTAAAGTTCAAGAAACGCAAAAAAAAAGAGAAAAACTAGCAAAATCGTGTTTTCCATTCGTCCCGAAATTTCCGGCCGATGGTGGTGGTCGGACGGAAATTTCTCAGGCGAGCAAAAAAATGTTTTCAAGTAAGTTTAATTAATTAATCTTGTTAAACGCTTTCCCGTCTTGCCAGAAGTGACGACAGATTTATTCTGTTAGTTTTAGTTTGTTTCTAATGATTCTATGTGTCATTGTTACACGTCTTATTACATTGATTTATTACTAAGGGATTGTTCATTCCTTGTGTCGTTGAGTTATCATTGTACGGTAGTGAGAAAAATATATTAAATGATATAAAATTGATTTTTGCGTAATTCTTGACCCTACATAACATTTTTAGGGATAGTAATTAGAAGCAGAGATGAGTTGGAAGATTGCTCACGGGCAGGGACGCGCGATCGCATCGTGTGCTGCCCTCTGGTTTCGTACGTTAGCTTTCACCGTTCTTGGCCCCCAAGGGCGGCGCAACGAATTTCTGGTAGGGGCTCGCGCACTCGCGATGGCTGTGCCATCTACCAGTTGTCGTTGGCGGCTCACGTATTCGCGATGGTAATACCATGCGGTAGTTGACGGTGGTGGCTTACCATTATGGCAATCTCCCAACTCATCTCTGCCAAATCAGCTGCTTCCAGGTGATCCACCTAAACCTGCAAAGAGGCACAAAAGTACAGGTAAAACGGAACATTGAAGAAACACCAGGAAGTCTCCAGATTCTTCGAAGTGGCCCACCTAAAGCTGAAAGGGAACACAAAGGCACAAACGAAACCATTGGGAAAGCGAGAAAGAGACGGTGATACAAGAGCTAATAACTTAAGAAAGTTACCATTAAAGTCGAGAATATTTCGGAGTGTATAGATCTCGTATAATTGACCCAGTAAAAATCTATTGAATTATACATTACTTGGCGTGAGAAAAATCTAATATATTTATCTTACTTAAATGCAGACTCGAGAAAATTTCGTGAAAAAGATAGTTTACCGTCTCTCTCTGTCAATCCTGATAAAATACGTATAAAAATATAGGAGGGACAACGTGGCCAAATAAATGATGAT